ATTTAGTATAAGATAATCCGGCTGTTGTGTAGTGGTGTCAGGATAGTTCGGTTATTTTCAAGAATCGGCTGTCAACTGAGCTCATTTCTTGATACTAAAACGATTAAACTTGAAACGATTTTAATTAGCGGAAACGATTTTAAATAGCAAAGTGTAAAAGGCGTATTGAATTTAAAATCGAACTGGAAGCACACCCCTTTATAGTAACTAAAAAATTGCTTTATCTCAATTGAAATAATACGATAATGTTTAATAGAAAAATGGCTATTCATGAAATATTTTTTCTAAGACAGAATAGAATGACAGAATAGTATTGACATAATATTAGTCTTCACTAACACAAAGACTACTATGAAATATTAGGTTCATAGTTTGTTGGTTTAATCCAAAATACAAGCCTAAAGCAATTATAGTCCCCAAAAGAAATTTTCAACCAATACAACAATTAAATCTACCACGGCGAAATATATCTCCACAAGTTTCATTCCTATTTCCAAAACAACCAGTTTCTGGATCATCTTCGCGTTCACGACGTGAAAAAATTGTTTCATATTTAATCGCTTAATGTCTAAAATAAAAAATAAAATAATTTCATGATTATAGTAACCGATTTATTACAGGAGTTCAAATTCTGATGATTTTTCCTTTTTTTAGTTATTTATGGGTATATAAGAATTATTTTTAAAAAGATTTTTGGAGTCTTAAACAGTGCTTCGAAATTTCAAATTTGCTCGTACTCGTACTCGTACTTCGTACCACCTCTTTTTTTGGCCTCGTACTCGTACTCGTACCTCGTACCACCCCCATTTTTTTGCTCGTACTCGTACTCGTACCTCGTACCACCCCTATTTTTGGCCTCGTACCTCGTACTCGTACCTCGTACTTACTCGATCTTGAGAAAAAATCAAAAAATCTAAAATTTTTATGATTTTTTGGAGACAGGGCATCTAGTTTTAAATTTTAAGCGTTGTATGTGATAATTTTTGAATCTTGGAAGGCTTTCAAGCTATAGATCCTACAATTTCATTCATTGTCTGCGCCGAAAGCGAAGGTTTTGAGCATTTTGGAAGCAAGGAGAAATTTTCCTCCAAAATGGGTCGGGCTACCCGAAATCCGACATTTTTTCATCCATTTTTCATCTTCTTACATGGAACTTTTTATCTTTTCCACTGAACTTTTCACATTTTAATCTCCTTATATCCCTCTTAATCTCAAATCCTTTTTTTAAAAATTTTGAGAATTTTGGATGCCCTTAAGTCAGATTTCTTCTATTTTTGCGCCGCAGGCGAAAATTTTGAAAAATTTTGAAGGCCATGAAGCCAGATTTCTTTCATTTTTCACCGCCGAAGGCGAAAATCTTAAAATTTGGAAGCCAATAAGCCACCTTTCTTATTTTTTCAGCGCCGCAGGCGAAAATTTTGAAAATTTCCAAAGGCCGTAGGCGAAAAAAATTCACTTTTAGTGTGCAAAGAAAAAAATATTAAGAATTTTAGATGGTCAAAATCTCATAATTAATCCAAGTAAAAATACAATAATTTTTTAAAAAAATTAAAAAAGTTATTTATGAAGAGAAAAATATTAAAAATCCTTGTCCAGTGAATAGGAAACGAACCCAATATTAAATCATTATAGACTTTGGTGCAACCAAGCACCTTCACCACTCGGCCACTCGCTCATACAATGAAAAATGAAAGGAACAAAATATATTTCTTTCAATTTTCCTATTAACACCAAGTACGAGAAGTACGAGCTCGTACTTAGGCCTCGTACTCGTACTTTTCACTTTTTTTTGGCCTCGTACTCGTACTCGTATCTCGTACCTGCCCAATTTTTTTGCTCGTACTCGTACTCGTACTTCGTACCAGGTACGAGTACGAGTACGAGGTACGAGTACGAATTTTGGTACGAGCTTCGAAGCACTGGTCTTAAATATTATAAGAATTTTTTAAAATTTTCTTGTAGTTTTTAGATAAATTTCATCTTTTCTATGTATTCTGCTTCAGAAAATACTAAGCTCTAATTTAGACACATTAAGGCTAGGGTGTATTAGAAGGCTTCTATTTTATCGTTTCGGTTTAAGTTAACCGAAGAATTTGGCTATATGACTACATTATACAAATGATATAAACCTATTGTTACATTTTTATTTTCAGAATTCAAAAAATCACCTACTATATTTCTTGACATCCTCTTTTTTACAACACAGGCAACCATTATTTGACGGGATTTTAAAATGTAGAGCAAAAGGCTTCCAAATTGAAACGGCATCTTCAAGAACATTACCCTCAACTTCTATCTTTTCGGTAAAATGTCCCTATAACTTGTTGAATAACCCAGTCAGATAATTTTTTCAAATAATTTTTCTTCCTCTATGAGTTTTGCATTTTTAAATTTTTTGTGAATTTTTCCATATTTTTTATCATTGAATTTGTTGTAGAGAGCTAAAGAAGTTTCTTTAACGCTTTGAACTTTATCAAATGCTTCCTTCATATTTGAAGCCTTGGCAATGTCAAACAGATTATTTAGGCTCTAAAATTTTTTTGTAGATTTGTAAAAATTTTATAGTCAAATTTTAAATTGGAGTCCTAACTATTGATGATTGTCGGGATTTTAAAAAATCCGAGAATCGAGACCGAGAACTGGAATCAACCCCGAGATCGAGTCCCGGACGAGACCAAGAGTCGAGACCGAGACCTAACGATTAAGAGGGATTCAGTTGATGTCCCTCCTATTCCCAAAGATCCCTTGATTTCCCTTATAATCCCCAAAATCCTTTGAATCTCCAAATACACCGCCGATTTTTTTATTTTCCTTGGGGTGATAGACACTTAGTTTCCATGAATTTAATTTTAAATCTAACAATAGATGCAATTCATCTTACATTATCAATGTCTAAAGTTGTCATTTCCTTCTCAATCATTCGCAACTTTTGTATCAACTGGTAAAATTCTTCTAATTCATATATCTTTTCTGGTCTACCCTGACTCCAAATATTTGTTCCAGCAAGATTAAATATGAATATTATAATAATTAACATCCCTAAAAGCTACGATTGATTATGATTTTCAGATCTCATATTTTCGTCAGTACAATGCCGAACTAAGCCTTATTCTTTTCTAAACCGCAAATAAATCGATATTTCGATATCGCATTTTTAAATCGATATCGCAATTAAATCGATATTTATCGCTTAATTCTTGCGTAATCCTGGAAAACCATATGCATTCGGTCGTGCAATCTCATGCCATTCAGTGGCTATGTCTTGTTGACTCTAGTGGAACAAACCAAAGGAGCCATGAGGCATATTAAAAACTAAAAGGCATTAGCTGAAAGTAGATTCTGATTAAAGTTCCGGAAAGCTCCTAATTTACTCCAGACTTGAATCCAGTCAACATTACTTAACTCTTTCATAATCACTTAAATTCAATTATGATTTAAAAAAATACTTTAAAAAATAAAAAAAATTCAATGACTTCTCTTTAAAAAAATGAATTGATTTAGAAAAGAGGAGGAGATAAAGTGCAATTCTCTACTTAGATTGCGATAAAGTGCAAGTCTATCCCATGCCATTCATTGACTTATATTTCATAAAAGATTTTTCTTTTGCGATTCTTATATTAATAAGAATGATGCAATATTTTCATTGATTTTCAAATTTCTTAAATGCTTTGCCTTTTTATTTATTGCCAAAATGCCGAGTGCATAATTAATTAACAAATTTTATAAAGTTTAAAAAATAATTTTTAAAAATTTTCAAAAATGGGAAAGGGCTTGTTTGCCACAGATTAACAAATGTTCTAAGCATTTGTAAGAAACACCTTGAGCGTTTATGGATTTTAGTGTATTGTTATTATTACAATTTTTATGTTTACATTTCAATTTCTGCTTTTTTTCCTTGTTGTATTGATTTTACTTTTTTTACATGTTTTTTGCACCACTTTAATGTATTTTAAAATAACTGTGATTTGCTGATAAATAGGGTGGTCCAAAACATGCAAATGCGTATGCGGATATGCCTTGATGAGAGAAACTCAAAAATGATGTTTTTAGGTTGGACGAGCACTTTAGGACCCGCATATTTTTGCATATCTGTGCATATTTTTGCATATCTGTGCATATTTTGGTCAATATTTCGTCATTTTTGGCAAATTTTAGTAGAAATTGGACAAAATTTTGGAATTTTTTGGGCAAAAAATTTTTTATAAAAAAATTTTTTTCAAAAAATTTTTTCGGAAAATTTTTTGAGTAAATTTGAGTAAATTTTTTTGAGTAAATTTTTTGAGTCTTTGCAGAAATTTTAAATCGATAAAATCTTTTAGAAATTCACTTAAAATCCAAAATTAAAGGCTAAATTAGTGTTTTTTACATAAAATATTGATTTTTAAAGGAAATTTTCACTAATTTTTTCTGCATATTTAGTGCATATTTTAGGAAATTTTGCATATTACAGTGCATATTTAGGGGTTTTTTAGTGCATATATATGCGCATATTTGGCGTTGACCGTGCATATTTTGGACCACCCTACTGATAAATAAACAAATTAATTAAATATAATGAATTGTAGTCATGTTTTTATACAAACCTGAAGATTGTGCTTCGTCTGGCTTTTCTTTTGTGTAGTGGTGTTAGGATAGTATAAAAGCCAGTGTAAGCGTCAATCTATTGGATCATACTAGCGGGGCTAGTCACTGATTCCCTTCATCTGTTTCCAGCTCTTTTACCTTCGCCTTCATTGGAATTTCTACATTAGATAAACTGTTATTCTGGTGTACGTCAACTTTAGTTAAATCTCGGTCAACCCTCGGACATAACAAATGGCGCGGTCGACTACAAATGAACCAGCTCGTCTACCGAACGTCTACGGTAGCGTCTACGACAGCTACAGTGGAGAATTCACAATTCACTGACTACAGAGTGTCGTTAGTGAATTGCTCGATGCAATTAGATAGTGAAGTGATTGACTGGATTCTGAATGGACAGACGTCGTAGATTAGTTATAAGCATGAGTCGAAAGTGAATTGGGTGAATTGTTAGTGCGCAGTGGACCAGTAGTTATTAGTGACCTGTAAAGGACATAGTGTGAGGGCCAGTTGTCTATATAGTTTAAGGCTGAAATGCCTAGTGGTCCTGGAAGTGCTCAGATTTTGGCTGATAAAGTGTCCGGCATTCAGAAGAATGTAAGTCCGGAAAATGAAAAGTAAAATTTGGCATTCGTAAGGATGTAAGACCAAAAAAATAGAAAGTGAAAAGTTGAAAAGCGAAAAGCTTTGAATTGTTTTTGAATTGAAAAGTAAAAAAAGCGAAAAAGTCACTTTGGTTAAATTTGGTAGCCATAGAGTGTGTAAGACCAAAAAAATGAAGTTTGAATTGTTAGTGAATAAAGTGAATTGCATTGAGTTGAAGCGCTTGGACAAGTTAGTTGAAAATAGTATTCCAATAAAAAGCGCAGAGTTGAGTCAAGGCTCTTAGGAGTCAAGACGCATCCTCTAAAAATAAATATATTTTATCTCACATAGGTAAAAGTACAAAATTCGAAGTACAAAAATTTAAAAAGTTAGCCCATAACACGCCCCTACTTTCTCAGCTTGGCAAGGCCCTCAAGCTAGGCGTTTGAGCCCTTTCTTCATCTGCCTTTAAAATTCGGTCCTCCACTCCCCAATTGCTTCATTTTATTAAATATATTAAAATTTAATAAAAATAGAGTTTTACTTTATTTAATGTTGTAAAATGCCTATATACTCTTAAAGTTATAAGTGTATGTTTGTTTTTGATTCAAAGTTGTAAAATAAATTAACTTTAAATTATAGCGATGAATTTAAAATTTGTTATATTATTCGCTCTTTATTTTGCCGAAATTTATTGCTTTCGTCAATATGGAAAAGTTAATGCACCAAACCGAGAAGGAGCATTAGTTCCAAAAGGTAAAGCAAGCTTGGTTGATAAAAACAATGACAATGATAAAATCAATGCTGATGAATTGACTATGAAGGTTAAAATAATTGAGGAAAAATTTGTTGAAGTTGGCAATGTAATATAATTTTTAAATTAATCTACGGGTTAGCCTATCCCTCGAAATTTCTGAAAGTTATAATCGTTTTTCTGAGACTTTAAAAATTGGCTATAACTTACAGAAATTACAATTTTTAAAAATTTTGGCAAGCAAAGTTGATATTCCAATTTTTAAAACTCAGAAAACATTATAACTTTCAGAAATTTCGAGGTATAAAATAAGTAATGGTCCCGGACACAGTGGGCGTAGGTCCCGGACATGAAGAAATGTTGTGGAATCAAAAAATTTAACCCAATTTTGCAATAACAGGAAAATCCAATCTTCTTTTGCCTGGACGCATAAAAGTTTATTGAACGCAAAAACTAGACCAGCGCCTAAATTTTTAATAAATTTTTCATAGAAGCTAAATGAAAATCAAAAAGCAGTCATCAAAACAATGTTGGACAATGTCAAATGCTTGATTGATGGAAATATTGTAAATATGAGTGAACATCTCTCGATTATTAAAAATGAGGCTAAAGCACTTTATGAGACATTTATGTCAAATAAAATAAATTATGAAACTTCGGAATGTAACGAAGAAAAATTGAATAATCAAACTTTTTTGAATAAAATTCTTGACAATCTTTTGAAAAGTGTTGAAGAAGGTAGTGTTAATAATGAGACGATGTCAACTGCAATCGCTATTTGGAAGTATTTTATTTCTAAATTTGAAATTCCATCATATTCCGAATGCACTCTTGACAAGCATACTAACGGAGAGGAAAAACGTAAGTTTAGTTCGGAATCTGGTTTCTTAAAAGATTATAGAGGAAGGACTGGATTATTAATAATTTCAAATTATTTGCTGATTACTATACTTGGCTACAGATGATTTATCATTCACGCCAAATTGTCAGCCTATCATTAGATAACTAAGGATATCTACATATTAAATACTGGGATTAAAAACATTTAATTCAGAATATTCAAGATTACAATTAGTGTTGTTAGTGCATTCTTTAATACGTTATTCACACTGTTACCAAACGGTACTAAAAATTCCATAATTTTAACATTACTGTACCACTACAAGTTATGAGGAATTACTTATTCGATAATTTCCGGTAGTACCGCTGCCGAGCACTGAGTAATATCTATATGAATAATATTTATCTTTTGCAGACCCTCTTCTTAAAAAGCGATCAACAATTAGACGTAAACGCACTGATGAGTATCCAAATCATTGTAAAATCTTAATCGGTTCTCTTATTGGAGTAGTTTTAATTGGTATTATCATTTTACTCGTACTGGTGTTAACGCATACAGTACATTTAAACTTTTAACTACATGGGCAACATGAAATCACAAAAAATGTTTTCGGTATTTCAAAATTTGAAGCAATCGGATTTCTCTGTCATTCTATTTATTAAATTTGTAGCTATAATGCTTGGAATCTTACCAAGATAGTCTTTTAGGAAAATAAAACGTTACCTGATTTAGGGAACTTATGAACTAAAATAGCTAAAAGAAAAAGAAGGTTTAAAGTCAAATTAGGATTTTTGTCGTTAAAAAATCATAGATTAGTTGTTCTCATAAAACCATCTTTTTAGATTTCAAGTATTTGTCATTTTCTGTCAAAACTGTAGATATTTTTTAACTCTTTCTCGGTGTAATGTTTTAAATGGTTTGCGGTTCCAGAATCAAAGTGTCCGACCATATTTTTAGTTGTAGTAACTTTCTGTTAAAATTTTGCATATTTATTATTTGTATGCAGTCCAACATTTACAAAAAGTATATATTTTCTGATATGAGAGTTTATTCAATTTGATTTACTCAGATAATGAATCAAATGATGGGCTTATTATTCGTTTATATATTTTGGCATTTTTTGTTGGATTAATTTTGGATTCCCACCTATAAGATATACACTTTGTCTAAAACATTGTAGCTTATAATTAGAGGTAAATTAAATAGTCATTAAAACATGTTATAGCTCAAAGCAAGATACCATTTTAAGTTAAAATCACTCTAAAATTTAATTATACCTAAAAGAGTGTATCTTTATCGAGGATTTGCATATTTAATTATATATACCGTATATGTCAAGTACAAATTGGAGGATTTTAGTAATTACAAACTGAGTACACAAAGGTTATTTATTGACTCATCCATATACATATAGATTGAAACAATACTTACGATGTAATTTTTGGAAATATACGGTAATTGAACATCTTTGCTGTTTTCTTGATTTTTTGGGTGTTTAAATGATTTTTATTTTTTAACTAGATAAATTGATTTTAGAGTTATTTTAAAATTTCATTGATTCTTTATTTGTTTTGAATCAAGACACAACGGATTGGTTATGTAAGATTAATTATTAAATCGGACAGTCCTAATTTATACTTTTAAGCTATACCAGACCAAGATTTTTAGATATTTATGAAATTTTTAACAGCAAATAAATTTCACAAAATTTTAACTTGTTAATTTAAATCTAATTATATAATTGAGAAGGGTTTGTCCGTCTGTCTGTCTGTCCTTTTATAGACAAGTGGGCTTTTATAGTAAAATGTTTTGGGGGAGTGAATTCTTTAATTTTTACCAAGATAAATTGTAATTTCGTAGATATATTTTTATTATTTTATTTATTTTATAAAGGATAACATTTATAAAGACAGAAGGGTCGATATTAACTAATTTTTGTAACCTCAAATAAAAAGTCATAATTTTTTTATAAAAAGTATAAAAAGTCAATATAAAAAGTCAATAATAATTATAATTAAACTAATAGTTCCTACAATTATAAAATCATAGGCAGTATTGTTTAGCATGACTTCTATATGTCAAGCGAGCCAAAAACTGCAGTCGAGCTATTTGTGTAATTTGGCTTAAATAATCACCCAGCCATTGATAAAACTAGAAACGAGCTTCATCCCGTTTACTACAGCTTCATCCCGTTTACGTTAACTGCAAAATGTACGCAAAAGTGAAAAGTGACTGACTATTGTTGATAGATCAGTAGGAGCATTTAGAGAATATGCTGAATAGTCTACAATAATATAATATCCTCTTAATCCTAAATCCCTCGTTATAATCCTTTAGCCCCTAAATGCCTATCAATCGCTACATATTTTTCATAATAGAATTCAAATCATAAATCAATCATATCATTCAACATTTCTCTTAATAAAACTCTAAAACCACACTTCATCTGGTTATATCTTTCCTTACTGGTTATATCCTTCCTTACAATTCCTTATTCATAATATAAGTGACACATATATCAATTAATCAGTTAAGAACCTGAGAAAAACTATGATATAGTGGAAAGGAGTGTTAACCTATGAAAACTTCTTATTTAATTATCTATTAATTTTAAAATCACTTTAATTTGTTATTAAGGAATAATTAAAGTATTTTAACAATTTTGAAAAGTCATCCGAGTAAAAAGGTGAATTTCGATAATAAATTAAAATGTCTAAAACTCTCTTTAAATTTTTAGCTTTAACCGAGTTTAATTTAAAGTTTATAATTAAATATTACGAAAGTAAATTATAATTACTAAGTAATTATAATTTATAATTACTGAGTAAATTAAATAATAAGACTTTCCACAAAATTTAATATATTTATAAAATTCAATTTCTAATAACAAGTCTTAGCGATAAAATACTAGAGAATTGAATTTAATTTAAACGAATAAAAATAAAACAAAAACAAAAAAGAAAGGGATAACAAGAAAGAACATAAAAAGCAATAAATTTTCAATGATTTCATTTTTTTTTCAATTTGTTTCAGAACAAAACACTCCTTTAATTCAATATTTTTTAAATAAATAAATTCTCTTTTTTCTTCCCAATCATCTTTGATTTTCAATTCTACCTTAATTAATTTTTCTTCACTTTGTACATTCAATAGAATAAATAAATTTAAAAGAAAAATGATATAGAAGTTAATCATTTAAATTTAGATATCCTGAAAATTTTTAATTTTGTTTTGATACCTTATCAACGGAAACAAATTTACTATATAATAACTGTGATGTAAATAAAGTTTTAAATCCGACTAATATTTTGATATTTTTAAGGGAGGACTCGACATTAATTTGACACTTATATAAACACAAAAACTTTACCAAAGATTATAGCATTTAAAATAGGGTGAGCATGGAAAAGGATAAGTGATAAAGTGTTTTTTTAATAAAGTGGTTTTTCTGTTTCAAATATTCTATCTGTATTAGTTTAGTAATGGGATTTTTAAAATTTATAATTTAAAACAGTTAATTAACAAAAAAATATATTTATTTGTTTTAATTAAAATTATATTAAATTAAAATTAT